AAAAGGAAAGGGAAGGAAAGGGGAGGAAAGGAAAGACAAGGGAAGGAAAGAGAAAGAAAGGCGAGGAAAGGGAGGGAGACAGGGAAGGGGAGGGCAYAGGGAGARAAGAGGTAGAAAACAGGATAGAAAAGAGTTTATTTTATTCCCAAATGAGCCTTTTTCTCCAGAGAAGAAAGAGATCCACTTGAGCCACCACCAAGCACAGGACAAGCATCCTGCAGACTACACTCAGCAAGGAGGTCATGGAGAGCCTTGGCCCTGGCCTGAAGCTCAGCCCTGTCCCCTCTGCAGCTCTGGCAGAGCCCTGAGTGCTCTGGCTTAGGAAAACAGGCATTAAAATCARAATGGYRCTGTCACAGCAGTCAGACACCCTAYGAGCAGATCTATCTGGGGACTCATCAAACCCCACTTCTCCAGTCCCAGGCACTGGTACATTCTCAGAGCATGCAGGTGGCATGGGAATCATCACCATTACCCRTCAAAACAGGTCTTTTATTGGGTGCTGCAAAGTCAGAGGCTGAGGCTGGCTGGAGTTATTTTCCTGCTCAGCCCAACTGTGCTCAAAACCATCCTGAGATAATTCATGCTAATAATGCCTGAATGTGACARAGAATTCATGACTCTGAAGGGTCATTAGAGGTCTCTCTTCCCTGCTAAAACTCTTTGGACAGATATAATCTCTGCCCACATCCATGTAATATTCCTTCATCTTCCACCATTGTAAAAAAAAAAACAAAAAAAACCAACAACTTTCCAAGAAAAGTGCAATATCTCCTTAACTTCTTCCATTTTCAACCTCAAACCCGAATGCTCACGGGTCATTAACCAGCAGTGAAAATCAGGGAGCGAGGGGAGGGAGGGAGACAAGAGGAACAAATAAAAGAGCATCACTGGGAAGTTGCTYGCTTGCAACAGATGTAAAATGTGTGACCTGCCTGTAATCTGCAGCTCTGCTTAATGCAGCAGAATATGTTGTGACAAGCACTGCCCAGCGTGGAGTGGCAGAGCTGCAGTGAAGTGGCTAAAGCCTGTAATTAGCTCTTTGGCTAATAAATCATCTCGTAGTAGCAGCAATGAAAATGACTCAGTGCATCTCCTGGAGACATGAATCTCGTGGAGAAACCTGCGGAGAAGCAGAGAGCTCCCTTGCATGTGGGCACAGCTCCTGGCTGCTGGCAGAGGGCTGGGTTTGTCCCCAAAAGGGACATTGAAGTGGGGGCAGTGCTGTGGGGGCTCACATGGGCTACTCAGGAKGGGGGGTCACTGTCCTGGACTGCAGCTGGGGAAGAGGAGGTGGGAAGAGATGGAGATACTCCTCAAAGGGCATGTGAGGGCTGGAGGAACATTTGATTCAACCTCAGGTTGGGCTGGATGGGATTTGGAACAAAGTGGTCAGTGGAAGRTGTCCCTGCYCATRCAAGGGGTTGGAACTGGGTGATCTTYAAGGTCCCTTCCAACCCAAACYATTCTGGGATTCTGTTATCTCACCCTTTTTTCTGACCCGTTATATGCTGGCACGTGTCAGACCATTTAAATGGGGTTTCATATCTCCCATCACCAAAATACCCCAAAACAAGCTTCACTCTCATTTTGACTGAACCATCAGTCCCTTTGAAGCCCTTTTTGGGTCACTGTGGGGATATGAGCAGGTTGATCTGATGTTGATGCCTGTGGCTCACGGCTGAGGAGCTCCCAAGCCAAATTCTGGGGTCCAGGGGCAGGAGMAACCACTGGGAGGTGACACCAGCCAGATTAAGGAGAAAAAAAAAGAGCATTTTTAAGCTAGCAGCCAACTGTGGTTGGAACCAGAAAAATCATTAAGGCTGGAAAAGACCTCTGGGATCATCAGGTCTAACCTTCAGCTGAATCCCCTGTGCCCACTRAACCAGGTTATGAAGTGTGAATTTCTACCCCTCCTCTGARCACTTCCAGGGATGGTGAYCCCACCACTGCCTCTTCTGATGYTTAACCACTCTTCCAGTGAAGAAATTTTTCCTAAYATCCAGCCTGAACCTCCCTTGGTGTAAYCTGAGGCCATTTCCCTATGTTCTGTCTTGGGTTGCCYRGAMGAAGAGCCCAACCCCAACYCCACYACAACCTCCAGGCGGYTCTGGACAGCAAAAASGTCTCCMTTGAGCCTTCTTTTCTCCAGATTAATAACTCCAGCACCCTCAATTGTTAAAAAAGGTGATGGCACAGCCCTAGATCCCTTGGGGACCGTGCTGGACTCACCGAGGTGTTCTGGCACTGCACGCTGGAGCTGTTGAACCTCAAAGCCGGCACTCTCTGCTCGTTGCCCTGGATGCTGAGGATGCACTCRTAGCCCCGCTGGCCCGAYTGTGGCTGGGGCAGGTTCTTGGCCTTCAGAGTGATGGGTTTGATCACCTCCACGGGCACCAGGATCTTCTCGGCCTGCAGCAGCTGGGGACAGTCCTGGGGAGAGAGCAGACAACGCACCGGGTTAGCACGTGGCTTTGGAGCCATGGGGAGAGTCCTCTGGAGCTTCCCAACCTTCTCACTTGGCCTGATCACGATTCCCTGGGCTTGGTTCATTACAGAGCTATTCAAGTGATGCCTGATGATTTTTGCTTTTCCTTTTTATGCTTTCTGTACCCTCTATGCATCTGCCTGTACCCCTTAGCCCACAKGYTTGTAAATTCCTGAAGCCTGATATTCCAGCTTAGTTTAGGAGTTCTGTTGGGCAGAGAGACCAAACATSCTCAGGAAGGGCTCAGCRTGCCCTGKSCTRTCTWAAACCCRAGCTCCAGCCTTGGRTGAAGCCTTMTGTCCAGAACATCTTGTGTAAACTGAGCTCTGGCCTCATCTGGGGGGAATTCATTAGAATAGGGGGACATCACTGCATTTGTKAAGTTTCTTATTGGACAATCCTAGATAGATATGCTAATTCCTGAAACCTATAAAACTTGTATCCTATTGGACAATCCTAGAYAGATAYGCTAATTCCTGRAATCTATAAAACTTGTACCYMTGCTATACACAGGTGTGCATTCTGCCATCARGTTGTGTACCTGGGATCCCAAACACTGAGGTAAAACCCTTTTTATCCCCTTAACCATATCTGTGTCATTATTAAAAACTGGCYTTTCAAGGCAACACAAGGAGCWTTAGTGAGAAGGCTCAGATAAACAGGCGAGGAAGGGTTTGTTCCATACRCTGTCCTTTCCTATCTCCCTCCTTACACAGCTTCATTTCAGCCTCCAGGACCCAGGGAAGCCACCCCTGGAGCTCTTTAATACCTGCTCTGTTTATTCAGGTAATGGAAAAGCAATCACGTTCCTTCCACAGGTTTAACCCAGCCACAGTTCCACGACAAAACTGAATAAAGTAAAAATCTGAGCCTAATTCCTCACTATCCCAACAGCCARCACAGCACTGTAGGAAAGGCACAGCTCCAGCAAGACCTGTTGGAATCTACAGAGTTGGGGATGTTAAAAAGAGAGTTTGTTTTAGCTTAGAAGAGGATATTAATTACAGATTACAGTATATTTAATACAGATCTCTGAGCCCAGCTCCCAAGAAACAGCTGTCACAGAGCATGGAGATCCCTTGGAAAAGCTTCCCCCCGGCTCACAAAAGGAGCGGTGACAAATGGATGTTGATGATGTGGTTCCTCTTCATGGGTCCCTCRCACAGGTGAGCTCTGGGTACCCAAAACTGCCTCACAGGTGGCTGCATTCAAAGTCTCATTAATCAGCACAGCTTAATTAGTTTGAGGAGCCATGCTCTGCTTCTTCATAGCACAGCCAGACAACTGCAAGATGTCTCTTTCATGGATTCTTGGGTGATATCAGCTTTTCAGGAAATTACTGCAGCCTTTGCCTGTTCTGCCTGATATTAAAGCCACATCCAGTTGGTGCCAGCAGAGACAGAGAACTTACTTAAAGAGGAGTAAGCCAAATCTGTAGGTATAGGCATGAGGAAAATGAATGATTCGGGACAAAAGAGTAGGGAAAGGGAATGTAGGGTTCAAAAGTGGAATTTTGTGGCTCATTGAGAGCCTGAGATCTTGTTAGAGCAGATGGTGGGAGCRTTTTACAGAAGCAAACAGCTTAGGGAGATAAAGAAATGGATTAGACGTGTAACATCTGTASTTACACCAAGCAGAGAAGGAATTACAAGAGCCAGCAGTCCTCACATGGAGGATGTGARCTCATCCCTGGCCAGGAGCACGGAAAATATCCAGAAAACCACACAATGCATCCCTGCAGGGAATTCCAGAAGCTTTCCCCAATCCCAAASTGGGTCTGTCCTAAGGGGCTGCCAGACTGAAGAGTCTGAGAGATGATTTTCCATCTGCGCTCACCGGGGGATACTCATGGTGGAAGTAACTCTGAGCTACTGATGGGCTTCAATTGGCCTTTCCCAGGCTGGCACCAGAGCCAGGACAGCCAAGCCCATCCACTGGAGCTGGGTGGAGCTGAACCACCTTGGATCCAGTGGCTCTTTGCCCGAGATAATCTGGCACAAGCCCTGCGTGGATATGTGCTGCCAAGGCTTGATATGCCATCCCATTAACCTGGCTGGAAGGGGGAAGGGTTGGAGGTGGAAAACCCATGGGGTATTGCAGTGCAGAGAGGAATTCTATCCCTGTCACCCTCTGCACCCTTGGGGGTTGAGGATTGAGGAACAATCTCTGCTCCAGCACTCCCTGCCCTCGCTGCTGTCTTGTCTTCTGATAAAACATCTCCAGGGAACTAGAAGTGTAGAAACACGATGGGAAAAATGTCACAGAAGTTTTTTTCTTCACCAGTGCTGAAACACAATGGCTAAAGTGTCACAGAGATGTTTTTTCTTGGTAAAAGAGCAAGGCTTGATCATCTGGAAAGTCTTCCCAACCTTGGGTTCAGTGGTTCTACCATGCCACAGCACAGCAGCATTAAGGCTCRCTGCAGCTACTCAGGATGAGAAAAGCGAGACCTAATTTATACTCTGGCTGATTTAACACCTATAAAAACCCCAAATGGCAGGGGAAGGAGGTAGTTTAGGCCATATTAAAGTAAAAGCATTTCGAGTGCTGATTATGCCAGCAGAATCCAGGTGCAAACACCATTTGGGACCATATGGCTTCAACACCCCTGACCCTTCCCCATCACCTGCCCAACATGGCCTGGGGCCTCTGCCTCAGCTCCCTTTCTTCTGGAGTAGAAAAAGACCTTGGCACCAGCCTCTCCATGTGTTTTTCTCCCCAGTTATAGGAGCTGTGAGAGAGATGCTCTGTCAGAGCGAGTCAGTGGGGCAGGAGGATGGGAAAGCCCTATCTGCCGCCGAGCAGCCGTTTCCCAGGAGTGGGCATTTCACTTGATGTCTGTCAGAGAGAAAAGCCTCAGATGGGGGCTGCAGGATGGAGGCTGGAGATAGTCCACTCTGTTACCTGCAGGCCAATCCCAGCTCTTCAGCCTGGTCTTTCTTGTGTGGCTTTATCCCGTCCCCCTCCACCACTGGTGCTGTAACCTTTCCGATAACACTTGTTTCAAGTTCATTAACGAGCCGTGATTGAGGCAGCCCCAAAACAGGATTCGTTTGCATATAAAAAGCTTTGCAGTGCTGTGAGGAAGTTCATTATAGATAATTGAAGAGGCAAGCGCCATAAAGAGGAAATCCTCCCAATGTGGCTTTATCTGATTGACCTAATGTTCTTTCTAATTGAAACGGGGAGGGGAAAAGGCAATTTCATTGGGTGATGTGCTGCATAAAACCTCCGAGCTTGGACCAGGCTCGGGGTTCAGATGCAAACACAGAACGTGTTTTGCAGACTGTGTCAAGCTTTGGGTTCCTGGCCAGGTTTGTGGTTTTGAGAGGAAAACATCAGCCTGCCCASAGCAGACCTGAGCAGAAGGCTCTGTAAAAAAGAGTTATCTCGGGCATTTTACAGTGGAGGCACTTTCTCTTCACCCTTCTCATTTGCTGTGGACACCACCTAGTTTGGAAAAATACAGTTTTCACATTATTTCTCTTCACTCTTCTCATTTGCTGTGGACATCACCTRKGYTRGAAAAATACAGTTTTCACATTATGTGGGGGAAATAATCACAGACTGCCAACAACTGCACCAAGGCAGGGCACAATCCCATCCTTTTTGCTTTTGCTTTGTAAGAAATCAAACCTTTTGCCTGACTCTAAGGGGAGCTGGTTCCCAATCCAGACAATCACYGTCGATTCATTTTGTCTGTGTGGATTCATTCTATTTCTTGAATGCTTTCAAATGAGTCAGTCCATTTAAAATAAYACCCTCCACCCTTGCCAATTACTGGTATCAGCAGCGATGCACACCTCACATCACCAAAATTTTGCCAATTACCAAGGCGGGGAGATTTTGCAGTGAAAACACCGCACGAAATGGGCTGTACTCATTGGGTCGATGGTAGTTTAATTTTCTTTATTTATAACTCCTCGTAGAGCGCCCGAAAATGTGTTTTGTTGCAGCTTGCAGGAATAATAAAGGCTCAGAAATATGAGGACCTTTTCTCTTCTCACATGTGTGTTATGGCCTTCATCAGAACCAAGCCTGAGCCGGTCTCCAGTGAGAGCCATTGTGAGGATGCTGCTGAAGAGAACAAGACTTCTCTGAGGCTGTGTGGTCTTAGCCCTGAACTAATTAGTTTGGCTTCTTTATGGTGCATCAGACACCCAGAGTTATGATTTCATGGAGGTTTCACCATGCTGGTTCCCAGTATAAGCTGGAGATTGGTCAAACATTCAGAGTTCCTTTCCTAGRAAGAGGTGTGTAGGGGCATTTCACAGCCTCGTGATACTGCACAGGTTTTCTTCTGATCTTATTTCACACAGTTTCACTCTCTGTCACTGTTTTTGGTCAGGATTATGATCCAAAGGGCCATCTAAGTGTTTTCCACTTTCCAGTAGGAAATGGGTTTTATCTGCTTTGGATGGTAGGTGTTCCACATGGGAAGAGGGAAAACATCCTTGAAGGTTTAATCCAATGAACCCCCCACCAATCAACAGCCCCCACCTTTTACTGGTGTCCCAGTTCACTCCTCCTCCCTTGTGCATCTCTTGTCACCCAGAGCATTCAGGGCAGGGAACATTTCCAGCTTTTCCTTCACATTCCTCCCTCCTGATCCCTGGTGGAACTGGTTGAATCTCCACTTTCTACAGAAGAAAATCAAAGCTCACCTAAAGCTGAGGGCACTGGAGGCACCACTGGCCAGATAAACTCAACCTTTGGCAACAGATTTTTACTCTTCCTTTCCCAAAAGAGTAGGAGTCACCTCCACCCAGGAGCAGACCACAAATTCTTTCATTATTCCTTCATTACTTCATCCCACCACAAATTGCTTCATTCCTCCTTCATTACTCCTTCATTACTTCATCCCACCACTGATTCCTTCATTACTCAAAGCCCCCAGTTCCCCTTTTCTTCTGCCATTAAAATCCTTTGTTTCATCCTCAGCTTC